CAATAATAATAATAATAATAATAATAATGATAATAATAATAGCAATAATAATAATAATAATAATAATAATGATAGGTGATAATGAATTGATATTTTAATAAATGTATTACCTATTATAAATAATTATGAATTATTATTTATAGTAGGTAATACTACTACTACTACTACTTCTACTACTAATAATAATAATAATGTCAATAATAATTATAATAATATAAAAATAACGTACAGTGGTCCCTCGTTTTTCGTAATTAATCCGTTCCTGGAGGAGCTACTATAAACAAAATTTACAATTTGCGAATCAATTTTCCCCATAAGAAATAATGTAAATACAATTAATCCGTTTCTGACACTCAGAAGTATTAAAACAAAAATATTTTTTACATGAAATATACATGTAGTACATAAACAATACAATGGGAAATGATGAATGAAACATTAACATCATAACACTTACTTTTATTGGAGATTCTTCTTAGTGTATGGGAGACTGGAGGAGGAGAGAGATTGGATTGTTTACAGTTTGGAAGGGGAATCCCCTTCCAGCAACACCTCTGGTACCAATTGCTTCTCTGGGGTTGCTTCTCTTCTCTGTTTCTTAATGCCACTAGGACCACCTTGAGAGTCACTGGAGTCCTGTCTCGCAAAGTAACTGTGGAGAGAGCTCTGTTTCTGGCGTCTCTTTAACACTTCCCTAAAATGGTACAAGACTTTGTCACTGTACATATTTCTCACCTTCTTTACCACAGGCTTGGCACTAGGAGCTTTCTTTGGAGCCATGGTAGCTTATTTAGTACTTGCAAGCACTAAAATGAGTGGAATATTATGAAATATTTCGTAGGAGCACTTGAGGGGACCTTCACTCACTGGTAAACAATGCCAGACTGGCTGGGTAGGGAGGCCTCCCCGGCTCACACCCTGCGTAAGCGTCCTGGATGAACTACTATTCGCGAGTCAACCTATGAAAAGCGAGTCCATGTTTATACGAAATACCCTTATGATTGGCGAAATTTACGATTGGCGAGAACTACGAAAGCGAGGGACCACTGTAATATTATAATAATGATAATAATAATAATAAGTGAGATGTAGAGTGAGTGATGATGTTTGTTTGTGTAGGTGAGCGAGGTGTTGGAGACGCTGGATCACTCCTCCATCTCTGGTATTTCTTGACCTGGCCTGGCCTGGATCACTGGCCCAGCCTGGATCACTGCCCCAGCCTGGATCACTGCCCCAGCCTGGATCACTGCCCCAGCCTGGATCACTGACCCAGCCTGGATCACATGCTGGATCAAACAGACTCCACATCCAGCTGAGTGGTAACACTACACTGACCAGACAGTTTGTGTTGTTGTGTACTGGACAACACTCAGGCTCCTCCTACCTCAACACTAAACTGTTGAAGGTGGGGAACAAGGGTGAACCATGGGAGTATGTGTGTGGTGGAGACTACCAGTATAATAATGGTAAGGGAGGAGCAGCACTGTTGTCTCACCAGGATGATCACCAGTACCAGAAGTCAGGCAGTGCTGGTGCTGTGTGGTCACCATGGTGGCCGGGGAGTCACCAGAGTGCCCAGTTCTACATCACCACCAGGGACCTCCCAGGTGGTCGCCAGTGGTCCCATGTCTTTGGTAAAGTTGTGAAGGGTCTGGATGTGGTGAGAGCAGCAGTCAACCACAGTGACATTACTGAGGTGACTGTGGTGGACTGTGGTGTTGTGTTGACACTCTAGTTCACTGTACCATCACTACTGTGTCACCATCACTACTGTGGTGTTGTGTTGACACTCTAGTTCACTGTACCATCACTACTGTGTCACCATCACTACTGTGGTGTTGTGTTGACACTCTAGTTCACTGTACCATCACTGTGTCACCATCACTACTGTGGTGTTGTGTTGACACTCTAGTTCACTGTACCATCACTACTGTGGTGTTGTGTTGACACTCTAGTTCACTGTACCATCACTACTGTGTCACCATCACTACTGTGGTGTTGTGTTGACACTCTAGTTCACTGTACCATAACTACTGTGTCACCATCACTACTGTGGTGTTGTGTTGACACTCTAGTTCACTGTACCATCACTACTGTGTCACCATCACTACTGTGGTGTTGTGTTGACACTAGTTCACTGTACCATCACTACTGTGTCACCATCACTACTGTGGTGTTGTGTTGACACTCTAGTTCACTGTACCATCACTACTGTGTCACCATCACTACTGTGGTGTTGTGTTGACACTCTAGTTCACTGTACCATCACTACTGTGTCATCATCACTATTGTGGTGTTGTGTTGACACTAGTTCACTGTACCATCACTACTGTGTCACCATCACTACTGTGGTGTTGTGTTGACACTCTAGTTCACTCTACCATCACTACTGTCTCACCATCATTACTGTGGTGTTGTGTTGACACTCTAGTTCACTCTACCATCACTACTGTCTCACCATCATTACTGTGGTGTTGTGTTGACACTCTAGTTCACTGTACCATCACTACTGTGTCACCATCAATACTGTGGTGTTGTGTTGACACTCTAGTTCACTGTACCATCACTACTGTGTCACCATCACTACTGTGGTGTTTTGTTGACAATCTAGTTCACTGTACCATCACTACTGTGTCACCATCACTACTGTGGTGTTGTGTTGACACTCTAGTTCACTGTACCATCACTACTGTGTCACCATCATTACTGTGGTGTTGTGTTGACACTCTAGTTCACTGTACCATCACTACTGTGTCACCATCACTACTGTGGTGTTGTGTTGGCACTCTAGTTCACTGTACCATCACTACTGTGTCACCATCACTACTGTGGTGTTGTGTTGACACTCTAGTTCACTGTACCATCACTACTGTGTCACCATCACTACTGTGGTGTTGTGTTGACACTCTAGTTCACTGTACCATCACTACTGTGTCACCATCACTACTGTGGTGTTGTGTTGGCACTCTAGTTCACTGTACCATCACTACTGTGTCACCATCACTACTGTGGTGTTGTGTTGACACTCTAGTTCACTGTACTATCACTACTGTGTCACCATCACTACTGTGGTGTTGTGTTGATACTCTAGTTCACTGTACCATCACTACTGTGTCACCATCACTACTGTGGTGTTGTGTTGACACTCTAGTTCACTGTACCATCACTACTGTGGTGTTGTGTTGACACTCTAGTTCACTGTACCATCACTACTGTGTCACCATCACTACTGTGGTGTTGTGTTGACACTCTAGTTCACTGTACCATCACTACTGTGGTGTTGTGTTGACACTCTAGTTCACTGTACCATCACTACTGTGTCACCATCACTACTGTGGTGTTGTGTTGACACACTAGTTCACTGTATCATCACTACTGTGTCATTGTCACATTGTAATAATAATTTTAAAAGGCTTGTTGTACTTGGTCATAAAAGAAACCTGCAAGTGTCCCATTGCTCAGTTGGTAGCGCACTCACCTCACACACCGAGGTCAGTGGTTCGATCCCCTGTACGGAGAAAACATTAGGGCATATTTCCTTAAGATATCTGCTATTACTGTTCATCTAGCAGCAAGTAGGTACCTGGGTGTTTGCTGACTGTTGTGAGTCGCATCCTGTGGACAAAATTAATCTAAGGTTCTTGAAATGCTCTGCATAACCAGTGTCTTTCTGTACAGTGTCACTGATGTCAGCTATGGTCTGTTTAATTTGTATCTTGTATTTATAGAAATTATTATTATTATGTAAAGTACTTTGCAAAATCAAAGAATTTTGGAGGTGACACGAGGCCAGACACAATAACAGCCACCGCCAATATACTCGACGTTTTTAGGGGAATTATTCCAGCAGAATAATGCCCACAAGTGAGTTCCTAAACACAACTAATGAGTATAAAAATCTTAAAAAGTACATGCATTGACATGAAGATGTATTCTTGAGAAATAACAGAGTAGAAATATATGGGTTAGAAAAATCAGTCATAGTTATTGCCAGCTGTGTTATTGTTATATATGTACCTTGTACCTTGGACCATTATAATGAGTTATCACTTATATATTGTGATACTAGGATTAACTATAGGATTAGTAATGTAAGATGTATTTAGACATGTTTATATTACATCATTTTGTCTAGCTTATGTCAGCCTATTCATAACTTATCTTAATCTAACTATTTTTAAATATAATTTTACTGCCTTACTAGATTTCTTTATACCTTATTAGAATGTGCAGTAAAACTGTTTTTCTGTCAATTTATCTTCCAACCTTTAGATTAATTTATGTCTGTTTTCTAGCCTACACTTTATTTAACATATCTTTTATGTTAATATTGATTTTCTTAATGTCTTTGACTTATGCTTGTCATGTTTTTATTGCACATACAGTGGACCCTCGGTTATCGGCCATAATCCTTTCCAGAAGGTCAGTCTAAAACTGAAATGGCCCAAAACTGAAATATTATTTCCCATAAGAATTAATGTAAATGTTACACTCCAAGTATTGTAACCACTATTTCCTTCTTTTTAGAGCATAACAAATTTGGTCAGAGAGGTTAGGGTAATAATATTGATCCTCCGGAATGCCTAATTTTAATTAAGTATATTCATAATACAACAAAAGCCAGAAATAATATACGAATTATCGTATATAAGTTAAGAATGCATGTTTGTTCTATATTATCCAAAATATATATATAAGGCTTTCATAACAGATGATTAGGAGGAGATCCTAGATATAACATATATATATAGAGATTACTTTAATGTATAAAGTCTTGTTTCCCAATTGGAAGCAGTCAGAATAAAACAGAATATGTCCAGGCCGGATAATAAACCTTGGCCAGTTACCAGAGATGAGCAGGAGTGTTCTCGTTGGCTGCCAACGAGAACACTTCTTCACTGCTCGTCCCTCAACCTTCAGCATACAGGTCAAGTGGGTCACGTGACATGACTCACCAACACTCAGTAGAGTAGTTGAACATAAAGGGGGGGGGTGAGGGGGGGTATAACCATCGAACATCACGGCTAACCATACACCGGCACACCGGGCGGCAGGCATGTTACTATACCTCCAATTAAACTTATGGCCATGTTACATAAATTATAATAATTGTTAATAAGAATTAGCCTTAATAATACAAGGACGTTCATTTCCAATTTAGCTATTAAAGGAAATAACCGCAATGTAATATTAAAGAAAGGTTAACCATAGGGGCATGACACCCCGGCCCACAAGCAAATATCTTGGCGTTTAAGATGCTGATGGTGTGGAAGAAGCCAACCAGCTGGTATAGGGATGGAGGTACATCTCTCCAAGCTCAGTCATCCACTTGCTAGAACTGGACCAGAAACACTGCTAGACTGCAAAGAATTTCCGTAGTTAGGCAATATATTAGGAGCGAGAGAGAGCATCGGCTAAAACGTTGCTCGAACCCTTTATGTGAAAAATGGAGATCCTGTAAGGTTGGATCCTTGAAGCCCAGCGCAATATTCTAACATTTTTTTATTTCATAGAATTTATGAAAGTTAGAGGATTATGGTCTGAGTAAATATTTATCACATGAGGAGTATAACCGAGGTATACGTCAAAGTGTTCCAAGGACAAGACTAAAGCCAGGGCTTCTTTTTCTATGGTTGAATAAGATATTTGATATTCTTTCAATTTATAGGAAAAATAACATATTGGATGTAGAATATTACTGTTTTGGAAAGATTGCAATAAGACAGCACCTATTGTGGCATCACTGGCATCAACATGGAGGGTGAAAGGAATTTGGAAATTGGGTGCACGCAATACTGGGGTGGAGGAAAGGAAACGTTTTAAACGTTTAAAAGCTTGTTCACAATTCTTGCCCCAATTAAATTTATATTTAGGACTGGTCAATCTAGTAAGGGGGGAGGCAACTTGAGCAAAGTTTGGGCAAAAACGCCTGTAATAAGTAGCCATTCCCAAAAATCGTTGGAGGGCTTTCCTGTCTTGAGGCGTCAGAAAATTTAAAATAGCTTGGACCTTTAACTGGTCGGGGGCTACTAGTCCCTTCCCTATTTTAAAACCGAGATATTTAATCTGGGCTTTACCAAAGTCACATTTTTGTAAATTTACAGTGAAATTGTATTTCTGCAATGCCTTCAGTAGTTGCTCTAATCTTTCTAAATGCGACTGCCAATCATCACTAAAAACCACCAGGTCATCTAAGTATGCCTCTACACCTTCTAAGGGTTGGACTAAAATGTTCATAATTCTCTGGAAAGTGGAGGCGGCGTTACACAAGCCGAAAGGCATAACCTTATACGTAAATAGTCCGTTCTTAATTACGAACCCGGAAATCTCTTGGGCCCTAGGAGTTAACGGCACCTGGTAATATCCTCTCAGTAAGTCTAATCTGGTCACAAAGTTGGCACCGGCTACAGCATCTATTAAATCATCAATCCTGGGTAATGGAAGCCCATCTGGTTTGGTGACTGAATTTACTTTACGATAATCCGTGCATAGGCGTACGGTACCATCGGGTTTTGGGACCAATAAACAGGGAGAGGCCCAAGGTGTCCAACTGGGTTCTATCAAATTATATTCCAGTAATGTATTTATTTCTTGCTGAATTAATTCTGGCTTAGCAGGAGAGACCCGGTAAGGGGATTGCTTTATTGGACTATCTTCTAACAATTCATTATCGTGGAAACCCAATGTACAAGGAGTAGGGATATCTTTGAAGATAGAGTTATATTTAGTGATTAACTCTTTTATTTGAGATTTTTGGGAGGTAGGAAGAACTTCCAGGAAATGGTCTAGTTGTTTTAAAACTTCAGAATTATGTAGTCTAAATTCTCTTACTTTCCTTACAGTGTCATTCCTTATTTCAGTGGATGTAGGTTGGATAGAGGTAATAATAGTAGGGAGAAGGCTAGACTCGTACTTCTTTAAGTTATTTATGTGATACCTCTTAATTTTCTTACGACGTCCTGGTTCACGGACCAGATAATTCACCTCGTTTTCTTTGTCTACTATTTCATATGGCCCCAAATATCTAGGTTTTAAAGAATGTTCTTGAATTAAGTTTTTAACTAACACTAATTCATTTGGAGAGAATGAACGAGATTTAGCCTTTTGGTCGTAAGATTTCTTCATTTTGGCTTGAGCTTTTGTCAGATTCACAGCAGCTAAGCTTTTTAATTTGGAGAGATGTTCTTTCCAAAGCAGAGGACTGGGATGAAGAGGTCCTCTCTTCCCTATCCAAGAATCTCGTAATATGGCTAGGGGTCCTCGTACCTGATGTCCAAAAATCAAGTCAAATGGAGAGTATTTAGTACTTTCCTGTTCAGCTTCACGGAGGGCGAAGAGAAGAAGGGGTAAACCTTCATCCCATTCACGAGAATATTGCTTACAGTAAGCACGTAAAGTAGATTTAAGGGTTTGGTGGAATCTTTCTAGTACTCCTTGTGACTGGGGATGATATGCTGTAGAGAGGATCTGTCTTACACCTAATCGAGACATAGCCTCTTTAAAAACCTTCGACGTAAAATTAGAACCTTGGTCAGATTGAATTTCACGTGGTATGCCTACTTGAGCAAAGAAGCGTAAATTTAAAACTTTTACTATATTTCTGGAATTAATTTTGGACATTGGGATAGCATCAGGATACCGCGTTGCCATATCTATGATGGTGAAGATATACTGGTTACCCCTTTTTGTGCGGGGCAACGGTCCTACACAATCAATAACTAATCTTTCAAAATGTTCTTCAGGACATTTTATTGGAAGTAAAGGGGCAGACGCGGGATTGTGTGCCGTTTTGCCTATTATTTGACAAACGTGGCATTTCTGTAGTTTGTCAGCAATATAAGTCCTCATCTGAGGCCCCAAAAAATATTTCCTAATCTTTTTCTCTGTCTTACGAGACCCTAAATGACCTCCCAGTGGATTATCATGTGCTAGTTCAAATACCATATTACGTAAGGACGAATGGCACCACTAAACAAGTTTCCCTTTGAACTCGAGTCATTATCATTATTTCTCTTCCAAAGAAAACCGTCTTCATCAAAAAATGAAAACCTTCCTCTTTATCCTTATTGGTTAAACTTTTATCGTCCTTTAGAGCTATAAGAAATTCTTCTTTATTACATTTTCTAGCTAGGTCCGCAGGGACTGGTAAAACATTGTCACCTGTGGGTCTCGACTGAATTGCTTCGCTAAACAGGAAGTTCAATCCTAATTCATCGGACATTTCTAAAGGCTGTTGAATATCCACATTTTTAGAGTTCTTAGCCATGGCTCTGGTGACCACATTAAGGGGAAATAAATCTAGCCCTTCCTCAGAAGCTTCTAATGCATAATTTACATCACAAGGATTATCTAAAACCAGAGGCTCTCTGGGTATCTCCAATTGATCAGTTTCGTTCCCGATTAATAGATCCATGCCGGCAATGGGAAAGGTTTATCTGAAAGTCCCACATTGATCCAGCCTACATATCCAGGCAGTTCTACATAAATCCTTATAATAGGGACCTTTATTATTGTGCCTCCGTAAGCCTCTAATAATACGTCTAGCCGGGGTTCATTACTATTAGGTAACTTTACCAGGTTTGATCTTAATAAAGAGAGATAGCTGCCAGTATCTCGAAAGGTCGTGATGTTTACTAACCTCTCTTTACAGAGTCCGAACTTCCCCTGGGAAAAGTAGGGTTCCATAGCTACTCGGACTTTCTCTTCTGAAGCACTGTCATGGTAAAGTCATCTATTAGACGGTCTGCTAGACGAGGCCTGGAAAGGTAAAGATTCATCATCCAGAGTTTCATACTTCCGAGAGGAATTTATTACCTGAGTAGGATATCTCCCTCTTGGTTGGGTTTTATCTTCCCGCTGTTTATGCCAACACTGGAACTGTCTATGACCTAACTTCTTACAAAAAAGGCACAGTGGTAATTGATCTTTAGGGTAATGCCTGGAGAAAGAGCCGTTTGTCACCTGTTTTTTTTTCTGAAAACACCTTCAAAGGTTCGCCAGCTGGAGCTTTCCTAGTAGTCAATCTTGAACTAAAACCTTGGAAGGTAGATTTCTTTTCCGGGGTCTTAGACATTTCTGTGGTTATAGCATGGGAAATTTCAAAGTGATCTGCGTGGGCAGCAGTATCTAACAAGTTAGTAGTAGGAAATGTCAAAAGATAAGTATGAACCCTCTCTGGAAAATATTTAAAAAGGTCTTCATGCAGTATCAGCTGGAAAAGTGACTCGACTGAGGCGGCTCCCATGGCCCTACGCCAACGCTCGAAAGCAGAGATCTTTTCTCTGGCAAAGTCCACCCAAGACTGCTGAGGATATTTCTTCAGAGTTCTAAACATCTTCAAGTAACTGACAGGTAATAAATCGTAAGCTTTCAAAAGACAATCTTTTACCCGAGTATAATCAGAATATTGTTCAAAAGGTAAGTTTGCAGTTATGGTTTGAGCTTTTCCTATTAAAGATGAATGTATTAAAGCAGCCCAATATTTAGGAGGCCATTGCATCATCTTCGCCTGATTTTCGAATGCCTCAAAAAATGAATCTAAATTATCCTCAGTAAATTTAGGCATCAAAGAGGCTGCTTTACTAAGGTCGAATGAAGGGATTGTATACACATTACTCGATTCTCTTTTCTTCCTCAGTGCTTCCCGTTCATAAAGCAAAGATTCACGTTCAAAATTCTCCCTTTTTAATTTTCTCTGGGCTTCTACAAAGGAGGTTTGAAGCGATAAAATACGTTCTAGACGTTCGAAATTCTCCTTAGATTGAATAGTAGTCAAAAGGGCTAAAGAGATTTGAGGTGGAACGTGTTCATCATCCAATACGACTTTCTCTTGTTCTGTTTCAAAAACATCTGAAAAGGGTTTACCTGGAACCGTTTCTTTAGCCTGATGGAGTTCTGTTCCCCATATAGTCCTTGGAGATGGAATTGGAGTCTTTGTAGCAGCGTAGCGTTTCCGAGTATCGGGAAGGTCATGTCCGTCGTCTCCAGTAGGGGTTGTTAGCATCGTAGTTTCAGCCTCGGGTGTCTGTAGTAAAGAATTCAAAAAAGAAGGAATATCTGCTTCTCCATTCTCAGTCTCTGGATCCTGCTCATCTGGAAAAAGGACATTCTGTATCATACATCTGACTGTCTGGGCAGTGAAATGCCTGTCTTATTTTATGCCCAAGCTTCGTGCTAATTGCCAACAAGATTGAAGCTTCAAATTCTGTAATCTCTCCTTTGTTATATCTTCAAATCTCTCTGCCATTTCTACATTCATTTTAAAGGAAATTCAGTGTTATGCTCCCGGACACAGGCCCCCACTTGTTGCACTCCAAGCATTGTAACCACTATTTCCTTCTTTTTAGAGCATAACAACTTTGTTCAGAGAGGTTTGGGTAATAATATTGATCCTCCGGAATGCCTAATTTTAATTAACCCTTTGAGGGTTTTGGTCGTACTAGTACGTCTTACGCGTAGGGGTTTTTGTCGTACTAGTACGCATAAATTCTAGAGGCCTCAAATCTCACAGGAAAAGGCTGATAAGCCTAGATGTGAGAGAATGGGTCTGTGTGGTGGGTGTGCGCAGTAGGAAAAAAATCTGGCACCCAGTGGTGCATTGTGGGAATGCCATCATAGTACACAATTTCCACCGTGCCTCGCGGTAAGAAGTTCCTCACTCCTCGGCGAATTGGGACACTTTTGTTCCTCAGTGACAGTTCTAATACAGATGGAAGTGACAGTGAAGATGAGTTTCAAGGTTCTGGTGAGGTTTTGACCGAAACTAATGACCATAACATGGGTAATGTGAGGAAAACCCAGACAACCCCAAGCCTTCCACCTCTGGTGCTGGGCCATCTTGTTCACGTTCAGTTGTACCAGAATCAAAGAGGAAACTCCTATTTTCCAAAATCCCAGACTCAGATGTGAGCATTGGTGATGATAGTGATAGTGATTATGAACTACAAGCTCTTCAAACTTGTTCCAAGAATGGAGGAGGAGGAGGAGGCAGAGGAGGAGGAGGCAGAGGAGGAGGAGGCAAGAGGAGGAGGAGGCAAGAGGAGGAGGAGGCAAGAGGAGGAGGAGGCAGAGGAGGAGGAGGAGGAAGAAGAAGAGGAGGAGGAGGAGGAGGAGGAGGAAGAAGAGGAGGAGGAGGAAGAAGAAGAGGAGGAGGAAGAAGAAGAATACGTAATGAAAACAATAATACATAATAATAATAATACATAATAATAATAATACATAATAATAATAATAGGTAATAATAAATGTTCACACCATGACAGTAACAAGATAAGGGGAGTTTAACATCTGATAAGTGCTGACGTTTGATGAGGGTAAATGAGGGTAGAGCTGATGCCAAAAGATGAGATAAACATCTCCCTCCCTTTGTTTTTGCTGGTATACTAACATTTCTGTCTGTCTATTTGCCTGTCTGTCAGCTCCCTGTCTATCCGTCTAGCTCTCTGTCTCAGAGAGCCACAAGACTGCGTCATCACTTTTACTCACATCTTCAAGCAGAGTATAGCACTTTGTCTGGGTTTCTTGGGTTATCCTAGGTAATTTATACTATGTATACTTGTATTTATGTGTACCTGTGAGACAGAGATAAAAAGACAGATAGAATGAGGGAGAAAGATAATTAGATAGAATGGAGGAAGGGAAGCAGCATCCGACCCCATTGTTTTGACAGGCGGGAGGGGGGAGTGAGTAATGAGACAATATGTCATTTTGACAGCTGCCGACTCCTGGTAATTTACACTATGGAGGAGAAGGAGAAGGAGGAAGAGTTGGGGGAAGAGGAAGAAGAGGAGGAGGAGGAAGAGGAGGAGGAGGAAGAGGAAGAGTAGGAGGAAGAGGAATAAGAGGAAGAGGAGGAGGAAGAGGAATTGTAGGAGGAAGATTAGGGGGAAGAGGAGGAAGAGGAAGAAGAGGAGGAGGAGGAGGAGGAGGAAGAGTAGGAGGAAGAGGAAGAGTAGGAGGAAGAGGAAGAAGAGGAGGAGGAGGAAGAGGAGGAGGAGGAAGAGGAAGAGTAGGAGGAAGAGGAAGAGTATGAGGAAGAGTAGGGGGAAGAGGAAGAAGAGGAGGAGGAGGGTGGAACACTAGTACACTGGTACTGGTACACTAACATTTCTGTCTGTCTATTTGTCTGTCTGTCAAGCTCCCTGTCTATCTGTCTATCCGTCTAGCTCTCTGTCTCAGAGAGCCACAAGACTGTGTCATCACTTTTACTCACATCTTCAAGCAGAGTATAGCACTTTGTCTGGATTTCTTGGGTTATCCTAGGTAATGTATACTATGTATACTTGTATTTATGTGTACCTGTGAGACAGAGGTAGACAGACAGATAGAAAGAGAGAGACAGATTGAAAGAGATAGAATGAGGGAGAAAGATAAAACACCTTTGTGTATGACACCATGTTTCAGAGTTCCACAAGCTGCAGAACTAATAGGAATATGTTCAGTGACTGTATATTGGTATATATATTATAGAACAATAATTAATAAAACAATGTTTTGTATTGTTTGTTTTTGTAAACAATATATTGATAATTATGTTTGTGTGCTTATTGTGTTGTATACAACGAGTGTATATATGTACCTTGCACCTTACTTTGGTCTCATAGGCCACATAAGTTATGTGAAAAAATAAAATAGTGAAAAAAACAACAAACCTTCAAATACAAGTAAACTAAAGTTTACCGGGTGAGCGTCAGTCGCCGCTGTTGCCATACGCGGCTCATTTTCTGCAAACTTCATGCATCCATATCTCCGTAAGTAATGATGGTAAATTTTTTTTGTTTATCCTATGATGTTTAGAAAAAAAAACTCTATTTTTTCATAAGAAAAAGTAATTTTTTTTTTTTTTGAAATTTGGCCGACCCTGAGAACGAGTTTCGGAGAGGGCCTGTCGACCCTCAAAGGGTTAAGTATATTCATAATACAACAAAAGCCAGAAATAATACACAAATTATCGTATATAAGTTAAGAATGCATGTTTGTTCTATATTATCCAAAATATATATACAGTGGACCCCCGCATAACGATGGCATCGCATAGCGATTTTTCCGCATAACGATTACTTTTATCGCAAAATTTTTGCCCCGCATACCGATTAAAAACCCGCATACCGATTTTCGTCCGAGACGCGTCCAATGTGCCCTCACATGTGCCGGCCGTCCCATTGTTTACCAGCCAGCCTCCGCGGTAACATCCAAGCATACACTCGGAATATTTCGTATTATTACAGTGTTTTCGGTGGTGTTTCTGGAAAATAAGTGACCATGGGCCCCAAGAAAGCTTCTAGTGCCAACCCTGTGGTAAAAAGGGTGAGAATTAGTATGGAAATTAAGAAAGATTTTGAAGGGTTTGGGGCTAACCCTGAGAAGCCTATGCCAGTTGTGGAATCCATTGTGCCTACTTCAAAGATTAAGGAAATGTGTGCAGAGTGGTTTGAACTGCAAACCTTTATAGATGAAAATCACCCTGACACAGCTGTTGCAAGCCGTGCTTGTGACTATTTCAATGACATGTTATGGCCCATTTTAGGAAAGTCTTGAAGAAACGGGAGGTACAGAGCTCTATGGGCAGATTTGTTGTGCGACAGAGGTCCAGTGACTCTGAAGCTGGTCCTAGTGGCATTAAAAGAAGAAGGGAAGTAACCCCAGAAAAGGACTTGCTACCTCAAGTCCTAATGGAAGGGGATTCCCCTTCTAAACAGTAAGAAGATAATGCTCTCCCCTCCTCCCATCCCATCAATCATCACCAGATCTTCAATAAAAGTAAGTGTCATGTAATTGTGCATGCCTTTTTCAGTTTGTGTGTATTAAAATTAACATTTCATGTGGTAAAAAAAATTTTTTTTCATACTTTTGGGCGTCTTGCACGGATTAATTTTATTTCCATTATTTCTTATGGGGAAAATTAATTCGCATAACGATTATTTCGCATAACGATGAGCCCTCTTGCACGGATTAAAATCGTTAACCGGGGGTCCACTGTATAAGGCTTTCATAACAGATGATTAGGAGGAGATCCTAGATATAACATATACATGTATATATAGAGATTACTTTAATGTATAAAGTCTTGTTTCCCAATTGGAAGCAGTCAGAATAAAACAGAATATGTCCAGGCCGGATAATAAACCTTGGCCAGTTACCAGAGACGAGCAGGAGTGTTCTCGTTGGCTGCTACTTCTTCACTGCTCGTCCCTCAACCTTCAACATACAGGTCAAGTGGGTCACGTGACGTGACTCACCAACACTCAGTAGAGTAGTTGAACATAAAGGGGGGGGAAGGGGGGTATAACCATCGAACATCATGGCTAACCATACACCGGCACACCGGGCGGCAGGCATGTTACTATACCTCCAATTAAACTTATGGCCATGTTACATAAATTATAATAATTGTTAATAAGAATTAGCCTTAATAATACAAGGACGTTCATTTCCAATTTAGCTATTAAAGGAAATAACCGCAATGTAATATTAACCCTTTGAGGGTCGACAGGCCCTCTCCGAAACTCGTTCTCAGGGTCGGCCAAATTTCAAAAAAAAAAATTATTTTTCTTATGAAAAAATAGAGTTTTTTTTTCTAAACATTATAGGATAGACAAAAAAAATTTACCATCAATACTTACGGAGATATGGATGCATGAAGTTTGCAGAAAATGAGCCGCGTATGGCAACAGCGGCGACTGCCGCTCACCCGGTAAACTTTGATTTACTTGTATTTGAAGGTTTGTTGTTTTTTTCACTATTTTATTTTTTCACATAACTTATGGGCCCTATGAGCCCAAAGTAAGGTGCAATGTACATATAACACTCGTTGTATACAAACAATAAGCACACAAACATAATTATAAATATATTTTTACAAAACTTTTTTACAAAACAAACAAAAAAAACATTGTTTATTATTATTGTTTTTTAAATAATATCCCATATACAGTCATAAACATATTCCATTATTTTTCTGCGTTTGGGTGGAACTCTGAAACATGGTTCTACACAATGGTGTTTTATTTTTCTCCCTCATTCATCTCTTTCAATCTGTCCTCTTTTATCTTTTTCTACTCTGTCTCACAGGTACACATAAATACAAGTATACATATATAAATTTACCTGGATAACCAAAAATCCGACAAAGTGCTATACTCTGCTTGAAGTTTTGATAAAATGATGACACGTCTTGTGGCTCTCTGAGACAGAGAGCTAGAGGGAAGACAGATGACGGGGAGCTTGACAGACAGACAAATGACAGCAGAAATGTTAGTGTACCAGTACCAGTGTACTATTTTTCCCCCCTCCTCCCCCTCTTCTTCCTTTTCCTCCTCTTCCCCTACTCTTCCCCCTCTTCCTCCTTTTCCCCCCCTATCTTCCTCATCCCCCTTTTCCTCTTCCTCCTTTTCCTCTCCTCCTACTTTTCCCCCCTTCCTCCTCCTCCTCTCCTTCTCCTCCTTTCTTCCTTTTCCCTCCTACTCTTCCCCCTCCCCCTTTCTTCCTTTCCCCCTCTTCCCCCTAATCTTCCCCCATTTTTTCCTTTCCCTTCCCTTATTCCTCTTCCCTCCTACTTTTTTCCTTTTCCCTATCCCCCTCTTCCTCCTCCTCCTCTTTTTCCTCTTCCCTCCTCCTTCTCCTCCTCGCCAAAAGTGTAAATTACAAGGAGCGGCAGCTTAAAAAGTGAAAATTGGCTCATTACTTTTCCCCCCCCTCCGGGCCCGTCAAAAAAAATGGGGTCGGGCTGCTTCCCCTCCTCCATTCTATCTAATTATCTTTCTCCCTCTTTTATCTGTCTTCATCTCTGTCTCACAGGGGCACATAAAACAAGTATCATAGTATAAATTACCTAGGATAACCCCAAAAAACCCAGACAAAGTGCTATACTTCTTGAAATGTGAGAAAAGTGATGACGCAGTCTTGTGGCTCTCTGAGACAGAGAGTAGATGGATAACCGGGACTTGACAGACAGGCAAATAGACAGACAGAAATGTTTAGTATCCACAAAAAAAAGGGAGGGCGATGTTCATCTCATCTTTTGGCATCAGCTCACCCCCATTTACCCTCCAAAAAGTCAGCATTACGATGTTATCTCCCCTTATTTGTTTTCTGTCATGGGTAAAATTTATTTTACATATTATTATTTTTA